TCACAGAACACTTATAACTCTGTGTCTTTCTTTTCAACTTAATATCAAACCATAAACATTTTTATGCTACTACCTAATTTCCATGTTAGTAACTTTGAATAGCTGCATACTACCCCATTTGATATACCACTGCCTACTTAACCATTATCCTACTACTGACAAATATATATAAATAAATATTGGTCATTAGGCTGTTCCCATTAACAACTTTTTCTTCCTCTATATAGTACTGTAATAGATAGAGGAATATGCTTTTGCTTAAATTATTTCTTTAGGATACATTTCCAGGAATGAAGCCACTGAGAGTACATAAACATTTTTCTTAATTTTGATATATACTGCTAAGTTGATTTCCCAATGAGTCACCCCAGGGGTTGGCGGACTATGGCCTTCAGGCCAAGTAATGTCTTAATGGAACACAGCCACGCCCATCCATTTTCATATTGTCTATGGCTGCTTTCACACCAGAACAGAGTTGGGGAGTTGCAACAGAGACCACATAGCCCACGAAGTATAAACTATTGGATTGGCCAAAAAGTTCGTTCGTGTTTTTCGTAAGAAAACCCGAACGAACTTTTTGGCCAAACCAATATTTACGACCTGTCCCAGTACAAAATGAGCTTGCTAACCCTTAGATTATCCTAATGTACGTTCCCATACCGCCTGCACATGGTACCACATTCTAACAGAAATGAATTATGTGGGGTCAGACATTTTCTTCCACAACATATTTGTAGTAGATGTTCGTGCTAGAAACTGCAAGCTGGCCATCAAAACCCTCTCTTTCCTTCTTCACAGTAATATAATGTTAGGATGTGGCTCTCCAGCTAACCTCCCCCCCAGCCTTTGCAGCTAGTTGTTGTCCTGTGACTAAGCTCTCCCCAGTGGGATGGGAGTGGAAGTGATGTGAACCACCTTTGGCTCATTTCCCTAAGAGGAAATCTCTAGCCCTGGACTTCCATTCTTAATTTCTATCTTGTTTGAACCATTGCTCTCTTTGAGTTTCTGTATGACAGTAACTACTATTACCCTAACTACCATGCAAAAACTGGTACCAGAAGTGGGGTATTGTCATGATAAAAGCTAAAATTAGTGGCTCTGACTCAGTGGCCAGGTAGTGATGAAGAAGAAACAGATATAATCGGTGTGAAAGCTGGTGACCCTGGTTACGGTGTGGAAAAACATATGGTAAAACTTTTGCCTGTGATAACTTTCAAAGCATACCACATACCAGGGGCTCTAAAGGAAGGAACTGGAGAAAACAGAATGTTAGTGGATGTTATCTCCCATCCTTGGTACATCTAGCAAATTATTATACGAAAGAGAAGAACTGCCCAGTTTGCAAGCAAAGATAAAAGAAAAGAGAGAAAAATCAGACGTTGGGTCCCAGCATATTAGAAAAGCTTCTGTACCCCAAGGAACAGAGGATCAGCAGGTTGTGCTCCAAATCATTCTCAGAGACTTCTCTCAACCCAGTGAAGGCACCTAGTTCCACAGCAAAGATTCATCTAAAAGTATTGCCTTCTCACTCAAGTCTGCTGTTTCAGATGGCCTCGAGGTAGCCTCAGTAAGTTAAGAAAGGTTAGACAAGAAAGGAAAGAAGTAAGGCAGTCTTAAGAGCTACATCTAAGAAAGAAACTTGGATGTGATTACCGGCACATGGAACTGCCTGGGAGATACAGATCAGAAGCTATTCCGTTTTTGGAGGCATTGAATTGTGAAAGGAAGTGCGGGTCTAACCTGAAAACATCTGCGTCTATTGAAACTTGAAGAACCCTCAAGGCCCCTAAGCAGCAGTAAGCACAATTCTCACAGGAGGCAGGTTTCCAAAGGCCACTCCGGATGTGAAGTGAAGATATGGAAGCCATGAAGGACTTCTGAGAAGGCAAATCTAGGGACCTACAGGCTAAAGGACAGGAGTGATTCCTCCTGCCACCTTCCAAGGGAGCAGAACCAGGGTCTAATCTTCTTTCACTGACATAGTCCTTGCCATTCCTGTCCAGCAGAATGCCATCGTTATTATAGACTACTGGCTGCTTTGGATTTCCCGATGTAACTAGGTATGGCTGCCCAGCTAGAGACTGCACTTCCCAACTTGCTTTGCCACGACCTGTGGTCATTGGATCTGAGTTCTCATCCCTGGAATGTGAATGTGTCACTCCTGCCTCACTGGCTTAAGAGGAAATGTCTAGCCTCGCCTTCTGTTCTCTCTCCCCTTCCTTCTGGCTGGAGTAGCAACAACTAGGACAACTTGGAAGCCACAGGATGACGAAGATGGCAGAGCTACCATCAGCTGTGTCTCCTGAGTGACTCCACGGACGAGAACCACCCATCCTCTTGGAATATCCTCCCTGGATTGTTGCATGAGTGAGAAAATCTTATTTTGTCGAGCATTCGTTGTACTTTGGGTGTCTCTTCTTTTTTAAACAGAAACTAGTGTTACCCTAATACAATACAAAAGAACTTCCCAGAGAACTGTACCTGAGTATCCTCTTGATAATATTTTAATGAAATCAATTTTATTCAAATAACTTTAAATATAACTTTACATCAAAATGTAAATGGAAAAGCAATACTACATGCTATAAAGAGACCGTAACCGTGCGCATAATTATGAGGAAAACTAGACAATTTTATTAAATTCAAGGTAGGTACTTTTGCCTGCAGAAGACTTTTAGCCTGAGGTCTATCTTCTCTGTTAAAGCTGGACATAAAAATATTCCAGCACAAAGCTGTAGCTTTATCTCCTTGAAATCAGAATGACTAAAAGAGAATTGAGAAAAAGAATAATTTTCTCATGATGTGATTCAAGGCTCGCCAGCTCTATATCCATTTAGCACCTAAAGCCATCTTGGGTAACAAACAGCAGAGAGATGCAGCCAGTGGGACGTATGACACTGAATGACTTGAAGTTTGCATTAATCCAGCAGACTGAGTGCAAGATCGCAGACTTCCTTTCATGTATCGAATCACTAATGATTATAAAATGGGTATGTCTTTAATTCCACACAGTGGATGAACAAGAATGAACACTGTTGGTAGACCATAAATTATGAGGAATACAAGGAATACCTGAAAGATGGAAAGCAGCAGATGGAGGAAATGAAGCTCAAAATGGTTCCCAAAGAGAGATGCAACAAAAGTGGATTTGGAGGATGCCCACAACTCAGAGTAAGTGGTCTGGGGAGCTGGATGACTGGTTGGCATTCTGGGAAAAGAGCAGCTTGGTTAAGTCCTCCCATCCTGGCTTTGTACCAAGTACCTGGGAGCCCAGGCGTCTGCCTCCAGGAAGGAGTATTGCGTGCAGGGACCTGAAACAGTGCCATGAGGAATGTAACCAGACAGACAACTAGAAACCAGTGCACCTCACGCAGCGGAGCATCCCTAATCCCTCAAAACCGTGGAAAATAGGCAGCAGTAATAGACGGCACCATAGGCAAACTAACATGGAATCTCAAATTAACAGTTGTGCACAGAACCAAGAATCATTGTTTATCCACTAATGCTTGGCAAAAATTGAAGTCTAATGACACAGGTATGGGGAAGCATGTATTGCTCCATTCATGGTAGTGTACCCGTTTTAGCAGGTAATTTGGCAATATCTACGATCACTTAAATGCATTCACTCTAACTCAGTAATTTCATTTCCAAGAAAGACTTGCCCATCAGCATGTGGAGGCAGATAAAGGACATTCTTTTTAGCAAATAACTGGAAACAACCTTAATGTCCATTAATGGGGAAATGGTATATATAATGGAGAACTATGAAGCCATTAAAAAATAGTGGGATAACATATATACAATGGAATATTAGTCAGCCATGAAAAAGAATGAAATAATGTCATTTGCAGCAACATGGATGGACCTAGAGATTGTCATACTGAGTGAAGTAAGTCAGACAAAGACAAATATCATATGATATCGCGTATATGTGGAACCTAAAAAAAATGGTACAAATGAGCTTTTTACAGAATAGAAATAGAGTCACAGATGTAGAAAAAAAACGTATGGTTACCAGGGGGAAGAAGGCGGGGGAGGGATAAAATGTGAGATTAGGATTGACATATACACACTACTATATATAAAACAGATAACTAACAAGGACCTACTGTATAGCACAGGGAACTCTACTCAATACTCTGTAATGACCTATATGGGAAAAGAATCTAAAAAACAGTGAATGTATATATATGTGTAACTGATTCACTCTGCTATACACCTGAAACTAACACAACATTGTAAATCAACTATACTCCAATAAAAATTTTTTAAAAATAGTGGGATAGATCTATATGCATGACATGGAAATAACTCCAAGAAATAGTGATACATTTATAAAAGCTAACCACAGAACAATACATCTAGTATGATCTTGTATTTAAAAAACAGCAAAAAATCTAAAACGGTGTGTATATCGTGTATCTATCTATGCACATAAATAGATATGACAGTGTTCATACCAAATTTTTAACAATGGCTACTCTTAGAGAGGGGCTTGGGATGGAGTGGGTGATCATAGGAAACTAGAGCATGATTTATACCACCTGAATTTTATTTTTCTCAGTTTGATCATTTTATTTAGGAATATATTTGTGCCATTTGTCTAATTAAAAAATAATGATGCAGCACTTAAGGCAGTGCCTACTATATAGCAGGTGCTCAACATATGCTAATTCAAACTTTTTTAAAATTAGTAAAATATTTGGAAAGTGTTAAAAATGTAAATATAAAGGTTAATGTAGCATGATGTTTCTATGGCCAAGGTTTGACACATTAGAAGGCAATAAGTAAAGTGATGGAATTCTTCCTTGATATAAGTACTCGAAACAAGGAAGCACGAAAAGGGGCATTACTAGGGGAAAAAGGGAATTCGCCAAATAATAAGAGAGAAATCTGAGGTCTCAAGATAATCACACAGAATACAACAATAAGCAGTAAGTAAACGCTTCCAGCAGAGCTGTACGGAAGGGCACACAGCACCCACAGAATGGTCATCTCACCTGTTGTCTTTGCTGAAGAGGTGGTGGATACCCCATTGAGCGCACTAGGACTCCTTTTCATGGGCCGTGGCTTGTATTCTCGCCTGGGGACGCTGGATGCAGCCGATATTCTGTAACACAGATTTGAAGGTCAGGCAGACAGCTGATGACGAAAGCAAAGCCTCCAAGCCTGCGTTTGCTCTGCTGTAATAAGCCTACAAATGTAGGTCCTAGGCAATGGTCGTGAAGGGGGTGATTTTTACACGTCGATTCGTGAGTAGTCCAAAGTGATAGCTTTGATATCCCAAATGTAGTTTTTCAACTATATGCAGATATACCTCGTTTTATTGCACTTCACAGATACTGCGTTTTTTATAAATTGAAGGTTTGTGGCAATCCTGTGTACTATAGGTGCCATTCTTCCAAAAGCATTTGCTCACTTTGTATCTCTGTCACATTTTGGTAATTCTCAAAATATTTCAAACTTTTTCTTTATTATTATATTTGTTGTGGTGATCTTTGATGATACTCTTGTAATTATTATTACAAGAGTAGTAATAAACTGCGCCATGTAAGACGGCAATCTTAACTGATAAATGTGTGTGTTCTGACTGCTGCAGCTACCACCTCCAGCTGTTCCCCCATCTCTCTCTCTCTCCTCAGGCCTCCCTATTCCCTAAGACACAACAAAATAGAAATTAGGCCAATTAATAACCCTATAATGGCCTCTAAGTCTTCAACTGAAAGGGTCTCATGTTGCTCACTTTAAATCAAAAGCTAGAAATGATTACGCTGAGTGAGGAAGGGATGTCCAAAGCCAAGAGAGGCCAAAAGCTAGGCTTCTTCACCAAACAGCCAAGTTGTGAATGCAAAGGAAACGTTCTTGAAGGAAATTAAAAGTGCTACTCCAATGAACACACAAATGGTAAGAAGCTGAAACAGCCTTATTGCTGATATGGAGAAAGTTGTAGTGATCTGGGTAGAAGATCAAACCAGCTACAACATTCCCTTAAGCCAAAGCCTAATCCAGAGAAGGCCTTAACTCTCTTCAATTCAGCAAAGTCTGAGAGAGGTGAGGAAGCTGCAGAAGAAAAGTTTGAAGCTAGCAGCAGTTGGTTCAGGAGGTTTAAGGAAGAAGCCGTCTCCATAACATAAAAGTGCAAGGTGCTGATGTAGGAGCTGTAGCAAGTTATCCAGAAGATCAAGCTAAGATCATTAATGAAGGTGGTTACACTAAACAACCGATTTTCAATGTAGATGAAACGGCCTTCTATTGGAAGATGCCATCTAGGACTTTCATAGCTAGAGAGGAGAAGTCAATGTCTCGTTTCAAAGCTTCAAAGGACAGGCTGACTCTCTTTTTAGAGGCTAATGCAGCTGGTGACTTTCAGTTGAAGCCAATGCCCATTTACCATTCTGAAAATCCTAGGGCCCTTAAGAATTATGCTGAATCTACTCTGCCTGTGCTCCAGAAATGGAATAGCAAAGCCTGGATGATAACACATCTGTTCACAGCATGGCTGACTGAATATTTTAAGGCCACTGCTGAGACCTACTGCTCAGAAAAAAAGATTTCCTTTCAAAATATTACTGCTCATTGACAATGCACCTGGTCATCCAAGAGCTCTGATGGAGATGTACAATGAGATCAGTGTTGTTTCATGCCTCCTAACACAACATCCATTCTGCAGCCCATGGATCAAGGAGTGGTGTCGACTTTCAAATCTTATTCTCGAAGAAATACATTTTATAAGGCACTAGCTGCCATAGATAATGGTTCCTCTTATGGATCTGGGCAAAGTAAGCTGAAAGCCTTCTGGAAAGGAATCATCAGTCTAAATGCCATTAAGAACATTTATGTTTATGGGAAGAGGTCAGAATATCTATGTTATCAGGAGTTTGGAAGAAGAATTCCAACCCTCATGTATGACTTTGAGGGATTCAAGACATCAGTGGAGGAAGTAACTCCAGATGTGGTGAAAATAGCAAGAGAACTGGAATTAGAAGTGGAGCCTGAAGATGTGACTGAATTACTGCAATCTCACGATAAAATTTTAACAGATGAGGAGTTGCTTCTTATGGATGAGCAAAGAAAGTGGTTTCTTGAGATGGAATCTACTCCTGGTGAAGATTCTGTGAAGATTGTTGGAATGGCAACAAAGGATTTAGAATATTATAAAACTTAGTTGATAAAGCAGCAGCCGGGCTTGAGAGGATTGACTCCAATTTTGAAAAAAGTTATACTGTGGGTAAAATGCTATCCAATAGCATTGCCTGCTACAGAGAAAACATTTGTGAAAGGGAGAGTCAATCAACGCAGCACACTTCGCTGTTGTCTTCTTTTAGAAGTTGTCGCAGCCTCCCAGCCTTCAGCAGCCACCACCCTGACCAGTCAGCAGCCATTAACATTGAGGCAAGACCCTGCACCAGCAAAAAAGATTAGGACTTGCTGAAGGCTCGGGTGATGGTTAGCTTTTTTTAGCAATAAAGTATTTTTAAATTAGGGTATATACATTTTTTTTTTAAGACACAATGCTATTGCACACTTACCAGACTACAGTTTAGTGTAAACATAACTTTTATATGCACTGGGAAACCAAAATCTCTGTGTGACTCACGTTATTGCAATATTTGCTTTACTGTGGTAGTCTGGAACCAAATTCCCAATCTCTCCTAGGTATGCCTATATTTGTAAAGTATTTGTCTCTCATAAAGTCTCTGAGGCATCTAGCAAGTACCAGGGATGAACTGGCACTCAACAATGTTAGCTTCCTTCTCCTTTTCCTCATATAAAGATAGAATTAAGGAAAGATGCTCATGTGAGCAGTAGATGAACTACCTGCCTACAAAAGTGGATAGTTCAGAGACTGCACACACCTTTTGTCTTCCCTCTATAATTACTGCATTGATTTAAGCAAAAATCTCTCCAAATTTATTCATTATAATCATCCTGTGTAAAACAATTTTCTGTTATCAAACCTGGTCAAAAATTAGGGTAGTTTTTTAACCCAGTATTTTAATTAATAGGTTTACCATGCACACTACATATATCACTAATTTTCAGAAAAGTAGAGAATACACTTATCAGTAAAGTCACAGGGAACCCAGCAATGTTTCTTTGACCATTCAGAGGGTATTTTCGACTCTTTCAGTAGCTCTCAGAGTCAATGTTATGAACATGGGCTGGTATTTATGCTGGTGAAGTAAAAACACATCTTTTTCGAGACATTTACATACTATCTGAATATCATCTCACTCCTCTCGACATCCCTAGATGTTGGGGAGGGAGTATATGCCATCCCACCCTCAGCTAAACCCTCATCCAGTCAGCAGTGAAGCCAGGACAGCTCTGTAAGGGCTGAATTCGAAGGCAAGTGAGCAACTTTGGTTGCCCTAAACACAGGTCATGAGTAAGGGCTTGAGTGAAAAGAAAAAGGAGAAAAGCTTCCAGATCCCTTTTCCCAGTTCTGTCCTATTGGCCAAAGCTATGTATTTATTATCTCAGTGCTATCCCACACCCAACCACGAAAGCCAGCTAAAGAAAATTCAAAACAGAATGGGGCAGTGGGAAGGGGAAGATGGAGAGAAAGAGAGAGAGAGACTGATTTCGATTGATTTTAACTCTGCAGTCCTAGGCTTACAATGAATGCGAAGGCTCTTACCGCATCTGTAGCTTGCTCTGTAGCTCCTGCAGAATCTCTGTGGACTGTTTGTGATAGTCTAAAGCTGCCTCTATAAACACGGCCAACTGGCTGACTTGTTCTACCTGCAGCAGAAGTGGAAAATTACTCCATGGAGGCCAGCGCCTGTGTAATGTTCAGAAAGAGAAGAGACCAGCAACAAAGACCCGGCTTTGCAGGGAAGCGCCCTGTCTGCCTGGGCTCTGGTCTATTTCATTTCATTTCATCACGAAGTAATGATCGCACAGGTCATGGTATAGAGCTATAAATGCTGGAAAAACATGTTCAAATTTATTTGTGATTATGAAGTTGATTTAACTCAATAAAAAAAGTCTACTTTTCCAATGAGATGATCTTCTCAGGAGATGTTTATGCTATAAAGTTCATGGATCTGAAAACGGAGAGATAAAGCTTTTCCAATTACAACTGAAGCCAAGGTTTAGTAAATGAACTGCTTCCTTAGCGAAGTGTCTCTACGGGCACTTTCTAGCTAAGTCACATCAAGAAACTAAGTAGAACTTCGCTGGTGGCGCAGTGGTTGAGAGTCCGCCTGCCGATGCAAGGGACACGGGTTCGTCCCCCAGTCTGGGAAGATCCCACATGCCGCGGAGCGGCTGGGCCCGTGAGCCATGGCCGCTGAGGCTGCACGTCTGGAGCCTGTGCTCCGCAACGGGAGAGGCCACAACAGTGAGAGGCCCGCGTACCACAAAAAAAAAAAAAAAAAGAAAGAAACTAAGTAAATTAAGCTGTTCTCAGATAAGAAGGGAAGCCAGGAAGCAGGGCACGCACCAGGCCAAGACTTGCCAGCCCCCTATATGTTTTTGTTGCCCCCTATAGGTTTTTGTGGCTATCAGCGCAAAATCATTTCCCTGAAGAAAACAGCCCAAAGGAATGAACTAGAAAGACTCTGGCAGCTCTCTTTCCCATGAACCAAGACATTCATGAAATTAGTGACCAAATTACAGTGGACGCAAAAAACTAAAATGAAAAAGTTACGTTACGTAAAAAAGCCTGGAAGGCCTGGGGATGCATAATCTGAGGAAGAGCCATCTCCAGTAGGGCACTGGAGCTCCCTCCCCTGCTTCCCTACGTGTTTGAGGGGCTGCTACAGAAAAGAAGGATTCATTAAGCTGATTTCCACAAGCCTCAGAGGCAGGACCACTGGGTTGAGGTGATGGGACGGGGAGGGGGTGGGAGGCAGCGTGAATCCCGTGAACTCCAGAACCAGACAAAGGCACAAATCAAAATCAATCCCCCTCTTTCCTAAGCTTCCCCATAGCCTATGCATCACCTCCTTACTTCATTTGCTAATCAGCTTAGCGGAAAGTCTGCCTGTTTAGTCACCCTTACACCCTCACCCTGCAAAACCAATCATGGACTCCTTTGCCTTCAAAGATCTAAGCTATTTTCATTTGCTATTATTGACTGTGCTTTAGCTGTCTATACTTTCATTTTCCTTGCCCACGTACACCATTTTAAACAGGGGTTCATGTTCATGTAAGATATACATGGACTTCCACTTGAGCCGTACTGTGATCAGCGTCTGCAAGATGAAATCCCACTGTATTACATTTATTTTACCACACTCTGTGGCTGGAAGAGCAACAAGCCTAGCCTTAAATTTCCAAAAACTCAATAAACAAAACAAAGACAGCCTGGCCCCTACAAAATCCTAAGGATTTCTTAAGTTTCACCTCTTTGGCTTTTACACGTACTTTTAAATAAGTCCAGCGCCACAGCCTAACAGGATCACAGTAGAATCTGCTATGGATTCCTTACAGTGTAAGAGCTGTGTGCTGGTTAAAATCTGCACCACACTTCTCTAGCTTTAGTAAAGTTCATTTATATATTAATACCCACTTTGAAATATGCTTGACATCTTATAACTTTTAAGGGAACAGTGAAAGGTAGTTGAATGAATATTCCTTGAAACACACTTGATGTTGGGAGGGGGGATCACCAGCTGTCATCTCTGATGTGGCTAAAATACTAGATTATGTATTCCAGAGAGGCATTTGGATTCATTGGATGGCTGACTTTGGGAAGGAAATGGATCTTGGGCTCCCTTAAAACCTGGAAGACAACAGCAGTGCTGTACAGCGCCTGCACACAGTAGGTGCTCAATGCAACCGCTGAAGAGGTGGTTATGAAGCTATAAGTCTCTTGTTGACAGTGAAGCCATGTGGTGCCCCAAGTGGATCATCTGCCTTTCCCTGCCAGAAAAATGGAAGCTTCCAGCTGTCCCCAGGCCATGAGCAGTGAGCTGTATGCAGGTGGCCTCTGCTTCCCAAACCCCAATGAGAATTCAATACCTGGACTGGCAGAATCAAGGTTGCAATAAACCCAGGCCTGGCAAGAGTCAAAACCTGTCCAGAAGGTAAAACATTTCTTCCACTGGCCACACCACTCAATTTGGCAAATTCATCTATTGAAGCAGGAAACGTCACCTGGGATGAGAAGAGAAACTTAGTTCCACTGCCACCTGAGACCTGTGCTGCCACTTGGCTGGTGCCGTCTTGAGAGTAAAGTGTGACCTCACACCCCGCAAGGGTCCCCATGACACCCACAGTGGAACAGAATTACCAGAGAATTAGCTCCGGTCTCTGAAAGTAAAGTGCACTTGCTGTTACAGATGAGGTCACACCCAGCTCAGACGCCTCAAGTGAGAAACTCATGATGCAAACAGACTTCCCTATGGGGCAGCTAGAGGTGAAGGAGGCAGAGGCCAGACAAAGGCAATGCTCGCTGACAAACGGGCGGGGTGAGGACCATGACGCTACCTGGGAGGTACACGGAACCATGAAACCAGAAGAGCTTTTGGTAGACAGAAAAGTGGCCCCCAAACACGTCCAAGTCCTATTTCTCCAAATCTGTGAATATATTCCTAGATGGCAAGAGGGCCTTTGCAGATGTGATTTATGCAAAGGATCTGGGATTAGGAGATTACCTGCATCATCTGGGTGGGCCCAATATAATTCCAGGGTCCTTTAAGAGGAAGGCAGGAGGGTCAGAGTAAGAAAAGGAGATGCGTCAGTGGAAGCAGAACCAGAGTGAGAGATTTGAAGATGCTTCACTGCTGGCTTTGAGGTGGAGGAAGAGGCTATGAACCAAGGGATGCAGGTGGCCTCTGGAAGTTGGAAAAGACAAAGAAATGGGTTCTTCCCTACAGCCTCCAGGAGGAATTCAGCCCTGCCAATACCTTGATTTTAGGACTTCCAACCTCCAGTCTTCAAGATAATAGATTTGTGTTGTTTTAAGCCACAGATTTGTGATGATTCAGCAGCAATACGACACTGCCATTTCAGAGCTGCTTTGGCCTATTCTCAAATGAAGCAAAATCTAACAATGGGACTAGCTCTGGTCAGGGACCCCTGTTTATTTATGGGTGATGGGAGTTGTTACCTTGAGACTCATAGGAACCAAACTCATGGTGCTAACGAACCCACTGAGGCTGTTGGAAGTACCTTAGCTCTGGGGATGGGGGCAGAGACTAAGAGCGGGAGAAGTTCCCAAGAGCTGTGGAAAGTGTCCAGGGACACTTGGGTGGGATCTGAGCCACTGGGGGAGCCTGTGGACCAACAGCCATTGAGGGGGCTTGTGGAACTTTGGTTGTACCAAAGGAAGAATGGCTCAAAGGACTACATAGTAACAGCCCTCTAAGATCAACTCTCTGCAACAGGGATATGGAAATTGGGGTGGGAGAGAAGGAGCAGGGCTGAGAAATCTCCTCAGACCTTCCAACAATCAGTTACCAAGGGACTGGTCGGTAGCCAGGTAAATGGGCACAGAGGCACACTCTGAAGACCACGGAGAGAACAGAGAGAACTTGACGTGAATAGGTAACGCCCCGCCCAGATCCTTGGAATATACAGTACACACAGCATGCATGAATGCAGAAACGTGCATCTCCTGGGACCCGGCAAGTTGTCCCCTTTCACAACTGAAATGACGTACTTCCAATGGAGGCCACTTCGACGTGAATTGTGACAATCCAACTGATTTCTGGCTCTGTCATGTCGAAGACTCCACTATTTTTAGATTCCTCAGGGAAGCTGGAGGAAAATTTCTCAGGAATTTTGCAGTCTGGTCTTAAACAGATGCCTTTTCCAATAAGGCAAAGGCCTTTATTTAGAGTTTCTGAGAAAGTTTGAGTCAGGCCATTAAATTCGTATTAAATTCATAACATGCATAATAATCCTCTACACTCTTATTCTCCACTTTATACTTCTAAAGAATTTCTTGCATGCAGGGGTTCATTTGCCTGACACTGTAAAGGTGAAAGTGACTTTCTAGGGGCATATAGCTGAACAGAGGCAAAACCACAGGCAGGTTTCAGGTCTTTCACTCTTTGTCGGGAGTGCTTTCTTTCTACTAGTCCAATACTTCCTAAATGCCTTATTCGATACATCACAAGTCCCTTGATATGTCAGTAATAAAATAATAATAATAACAGTGGTGTGGAAGAGTGCAATTGTCAAATAAATTTGAGAAACTGCCTTGTGTATCCTCTTTTAGGAATCTCTTGGAGATTAATTTTTCATATATTCATTTAAAGACTCTGAAAAGTCTTGTGATACAGCAAACCTGTTTCATTTTGGTTAACCCAGGCTTTCCCAAACTTATTTGACCATAAAGACATTATTCACGCAACACACGCTACATCCCATGGAATGAATTTTGGGAAACACCGCTCTAGACCAATGGAAAGAACCCAGGAATCCGGAATCTAGTAATTCCACTTGTTCTGGGAGCCCATGGACAGAGGGAGGGTCCCCAGGCTGGGGATTTGTATCAGGAGAGCTTAGAGAATATTGCAGGTGCCTGGACTCATCGGTCTGAAATGGCATCTTCTGTGTGATATTTCTGGCCCCTGCCAATGTCAAAGACCTACATTCCATTATGTCGCATCGTGAGGAATAAACTTCTCTGCGAAGACAGAAGAGGAGAGTGTTAACAGGCCTAGGGGTGATTCAGCATTCCCAAGAAATGGCGGTGGAGACTGGGAAGCAACTGCTGAATATCCTGTACCCCCACCTCAGAGCTAACTGTGGGGGGCACAGGGGCCCCTCTCCTAGGGGAGGGCTGCTCTGGGTGCCTCATCCCAGCCTGGCACATCAGAAAGAACCAGCCCTAGACCTGCCCTTCTGGGCTCCTGGGAAATCTCATGGACCAAAACACCTGCTGGCTTGCATCTGCGTGTAGCGTAGGAAGCTACTCAGCTCCGGACAAGAGGTGATGTGATGCTCAAGGGCTCCAATCCAGCACTTACTGACAAGACCCCGAAGGACGACAGCATGGCGCCAAAGGAGACTCTCCTCTTTGATTACCCCATCCCCAACTCTGCCAAAAATAGGTAGAAAAACAGATGCCACTTTCCCTTAGGAATGAATGTTGGAGTAAACAACTCAGGGCCTTCTCACCAGCCCTTCCTTCTTTCCACGAGACAGGAGGAGGAGTGATCCGTCCAATTGGTGAGATTAGGGGACCCTGACACCCAGGGCGACTGGACCCTGTGCTGGAAAAGCAAGAGGGGCCTGGCCCTGGGGTCTGTATTCTTGAAGAAAGTGGGTTTGTGAAGCAGCTTTTCTGCTCTGCCCACCTCACTCTCCCTGAAGGTGGCTCTAAGGTCTAGACGAGGTCTGGGGTAAGTAGTTGGAGGCCAGTGTGGACCCAGGTCCAAGCTACCCACTCGATTTTCCAGACGCTCCTGTCCTCTAGGCGGGAGGCTGGTTTGTCATCCTTGTTTGCCTGCTCTGTTTGCCTCTCAGTTGGGAGAATGCAGATGTGAGGACAGATGAACAACCACATCCTGGAAACCTCTAGAAAACCCTAGGAAGAGTTGCATGATCTGCATTTGGAGACCCGGGAAAGACCAAGCCTGTTAGTTCCGGTTGGAGTTCTCCCATCAGACAGATCTCTGGCAGACAGATTTTGTAGGCAGTATCTGGTGAAGCTTTTATCGTGTCTTAGCCAGGGCTATAGGACGTGAGGGCTGGAGAAGATACCGCCTGTTGCCTGGAGAGCGAGACTTTGGGGTTTGCATTGTTAGTGCCAGACAGAGTTGGGCAGGTGGCCCCAGAGCTTCAGACACGCCACCTCAGATGGTCTCCCTTCCTTCACGCTACTCTGCTTTTCACTTTCTCTTTGGAGGGAACACTTGCAAGCCCTTTCCCCAGCCCAGCTTCACTCCTCCTCCTGTGGATGAGATCGAGGAATGTTCATTCATTAGTAGGATGAGTTCTCTGCTCTGCATGGCCAGAGGCCGTGGGTCTCAGCCTGTGTCTGGGTGTGAGTCAGGCTGGCTCTGCACCGGGGAGGCTTTTGCCAACGAGGGTGCAATGAGCAGAGACTGCAATCGGGACGTGGGTTGGCCATGCCATCCCCTCCAACACAGGTGACCAGGAGGCCTGTATCTTACAGTCATTGGGTGTTCTCATCAGTTGAAAGGGCTTCCCCTTGATTCCAATCTGGTTTTTGTGTCAATTCCTCAATCAGTCAGAACCCAAAAGGATGATCAGTTCTGACGGATACCCCAAACCTGTAGCCCACCATGAGATAAGCGTGTCCCACTTGTGTTTGGAGAAAGTGCCAGGGCCTCCGCTGCCTGCCACCATGTCCCTGAGGCCACGTGTTTGACAGAGTCTGTCCTCAAGAAGCAGGCATATACCTGGTCTCTAGCAGGTACCAGGTCAGGTGGAAAGTCCAATCCATTGGGCAAAGGCAGGGCCTGCAGACCCACTGTGTTTAATCCGGGAATTAGACAGATCCCAGCCATCTTTAGTTCCTGGATGAAAACCCAGCCATCCCCAGCCATGCTGAAGCACAGCTCTTCACTCAGAGCTCCCTCACCATGAAAAAAGCAGACATGGATACAAAAGTCTGAGTGACGAAGGATGGACATGAGGTTGGTGACCCAGAGGGAGCGGGAAGGCAGGGTTCTGTGAGCTGCAGAGCCACTGGGCCTGGCCTGGTGGCTGGAGAAGGGCCAAGGACAGGCCTGAGGGTTCAAAGCATGCCTCATCCCACCACGTATTGCTTCTTTGTCTTTCCCCTGATAAGTCACACCCACTATTTATCCCCAAGCATCACGCAGTTTCAGTATTAGCATGTCAGGTCCAAGGGGAGCTGGAGAACATTTTCTAGACCTTGCCTCATCAACAGGACTGCCAGACCACCTGGATATGGCCAGACACTGCCATGGGAAAAGACAAGGTTGTCCCTCTCTAGGTCTACTTGCTGTTACCCCAAGAAGAGAAAGAAGGCAGTCTTCTGGAGCTTCCACGATAACTTGTGAGTCTCCTCAACTATAAACCTGGGAGGGGCAAAGGTAAGAGCAGCCTCCCTGTCATAAGTCACTCAGTAAATGGTAGCTTTCGTCACTGTCATCCTCGTCTCACCACCATCAGTCTCCTTCGCACTGCCATTATCTTGAGAATCAGCAACCACAGCACGCAGGGTAACCACTACAGTTGAAAATGGCGCTAGGAAAGGTGGGAAGAGAAAGAGGTGGAGCCTACTTCCAAGGCAGCCTTTGAAAGTCCTCCACCGTTTCATTATTCTGATCTCCTCCCATCTCAATGGCCAGTTTCCATGGCTGCCAGTGAAAGACGTGGACCCAGGCCCTAAAATGAGGGAGCAGCCCATGCTCCTCAGAGCTGAATGAAGGCACCCCCCACCCACCCCAGGAAACTTTAGGGGAAACACTGCAATTCATGCCTCTGCAGGGCCAACACCAGGACCTCCGTGGGGCTTGAGTTATAAGCTAGCTCTTACTTCTCCCAGGGTGGGGTGGGCAGGGGTTAACTCATTTGTGACAAGCAGAACACTGTCAACAGATGGACAAATGACTGAGTTCTTATAAGGAAGGGATCATTTCTCATTTTGACTGATACTGAAGGGAAACGGAGGTCTCTTGAGTCAACTGCCAAGACCAGAGCAACTGAGACAGGCCTCCCTGATGGAGTACTTTGCAATAGCTCAACACAGATCATGAATAAAGGTCATGAATAAAGCGCGTGGGTTAGACAGCACGTCTGACACATGAGATTCAACCTCAGAGTTTAAATCTACCTCTAAAGTACCCAGGACTGGAAGGGCAACGTTTGCTGCAGACTGATAAGGAATACATGCATCTGATACCTCACACTTGAAAAAATCAAATATGGCAATCCAAGACAAAACCAAACCAAACGGCCTATTGCTCGGGGATAATTTCAAGGAAATTTCTATTTTTAAGGGAAAGCAAACAACAAAGAAAAACAGGGAAAACTGTCATCCCTCTTCCCGTTTCTCATAAGATGTAAAAGAAAAAAAACCTGGTAAGATATTTAAAGGAGAAGCATAATAGAATGCACTTTTTGGTACTGAGGTTTAATCATGGGGATTTCACATTGTTTCCTCCAGGGTTAATGTCTCGTCAACAGTGGACGTAATTCCCCCACAACACCATGGCAGATAAAAGGTGCTCAGTACATTTGGTTTGACTTGACTTGAAAGATGCAAGACCTCAATGTACCTTTTAATCAATTATTAGAAGTGGAACACAGGTTGCAGAAAAATAAACCCTCTGACTTGTTCCAACAGGTTTGAAAGTCCAACAAATAGGTCCGAAGCTAATGCTGGGCTGAGGTGGCTCGTGGCATCACAGAAGCTGGACTTAGGGTGGGAACTCCAAACGGGGCAGGTGGCCAAGGGCTCTTCCCATCAGGCAGTAAAAAATGCCAAATGACTTCTCATTGCCAAGGCAAAGAAGGGTGGCCTTCAGCCCTCACGGTGCCCACTTGGGGGTTACCATCCTCTTTAGTTACATTTAATCTAACTTTACTTGGACAAATAAAATAAGAGCTGGTGGCAGGAGTCACAGTACAATAGGATGTCAGCATTTCTGAGGGGTATGTGTCAAGACCTTCACAATCCCCAAGTTCACAAGCACCACTATGGTACAGCTGAAAAACTTAGGTCATGCTTTTATATCCCAAAGGTTCACTATGACAAGTAAAGGCATCGGAGAGCTGGGTGATGAGTGAGGCTCTCCCACTAGCCAAGAGGGCTGCTCCTCCTCAAACATCTGCCTCACTGAGCGCTCTTCACAGTCTTAGCAAAACTGCAAATTACCACATGACTTGGGCTTTCTATTCTCCTGCAAAACCACCAATGCTATGGCCTCAAACACAAAGGCTGGTCTACGATGCACTTCTAAGACAACCCCACCTCCCCAGGGCCAACCCGAGCACATCTCTGAAGCAATTCCAGGATCAACAGGACTTCTCCAGATCTGAGATTTGAGTCAGGACTTGCTGGGTATCTGAAGCTATTTCTTAGGCAGGAGATAATGGTTATGGAAAATTCTGGAAACTATGTAACAACTAAGGCTCCAGAGCTTCTCAACATGCTGACCCTAGTCATACAGTCAATGTTTTCATTCACATTAAAGTCTCCTGTTTGGTTTAAATACTTACATCATTTTCTAAAAAATTAAACATGCTTCTTTCAGCCAACTCCTTTGACTCTTCAAATTTTTCTACTGCTTGTCTGACTTCTTCATCTGGTATCTTACCTACTCGCTTCTTTTTATAATCGTAATCCAGGCGGCGGCCTTCCAGCTTTTTCAGGTGATGCTAAGAGACAAAGTGGTCCTTTAGAGAACTGTGATGCTCAAACACAGCACAAAGAAATATTCAGCATTTCTGTGAAAATAGTCATTGCTTTTTCTTGGCATAAATTCTAGGGGGCAGGATCCCACCTTACACTTCTTTTGCACGCACTCATCATCTATTAGAGGCTCCCTTCACCGCCGGTCTACAAGGGATATTTGTGGAATGAATGAATGGGTAGACGGATGGATGGATGGATGGATGGATGGAAGACAGAATGAATGAGTGTCTATATGGAACATAAAGATGCAGTATCAGTATGCAGATTAATTTTCCAAGGTTCTCTATAGGACCCCTCACTTAGGCTCCATTAATGTCCAGATAATTTCCAACCAAATTAACTATATCCAAAAAAAGTATGTTTCTTTTGGTACTACTGTCAGCTCCTCACTAAGAAGTAGATTATAAAAACACAAATTTCTAGTATCCTCTAGAATACGTATGCATCTTCCATAAAGTTCCCAAACAATTACAGAACAAGTTGAATAAATGCCCTCGATGAATGTGATACAGAGGACAGATGCTCACAGGCAACCTCTGAAATGATGGAATTTCTTTTGAAAAATATGATCTCTTTAACAAAGTAAAACAAGTATAAATATTAGAGGTGTCCATTCGTGGAATGCAGTGCCTTGTGTGGTAGTAAGTTTCCCATCACAGTTTGTGTTCAAGTAGAGGGATCCCATGTCAGAAATACTATAGAAGGGATAACCGCACAGGGCAAGGGAGTTTATGACCATAACCCCTGGAAAACAGATATTTGATATTGAAAGTGTATGTGAAAACAGATTGTCCCACTGAAGCACGTAGGTAACTTGACTATTCTTTTTAGTGGGAAGCACTGGTTCTAACCTCCATAATGATTGGGTGAAGAGTATATAGGACAAAAAGTCAGAATCATCTCTCTTCTGACACGTTCTTCTGACTCTGGGCAAGTCTCTGAATCCCTCTGTGCCTCCACATATGTGGCTGTAAACGGGCACAACCAGGCTTAGTCTGGCTACATATGGGTGACGAAACATTTACAGAAGCCTTTGAGTCCACAAGACCTTGTACAGATATGTCAGTCATGTATTAAATGAACAGGCTCTCCACTCCGGATGTCCGAGACATACAGAGCACAGCTGAGACTATGAAAAGCCTTCTGAATATTAGACTCTTTAATTCTTGATCATCTATAGGATTGAAGTTTAAATTTATACAGTTTCTCTATCAAACCAGAGTTGAAGAACAAGAGACACCATTTAGAAAATTATTTTTTTGCATAGGGAGAAACATTTAAGGATATGTGTATTTTGTACATTTCTCCCACTCACTGCTCAGGATCCACATTTGTGTCCATGACTAGCTACCCTACTGAACCAGGTCAAGTGGAAGAGCAATGTCGTCCAGTGGACTTTCTGTACAGCTTTCTTCAAGGTCAGCAGCACAAGAAGAAATGGCATATGATGTATGTCAGCAAAGGAGGTATTTGGTTCTAAGGTTCTGCATTTGGGAAAGATGTTTTGGCATCCCCGCAACACAGAATGTCTCTTCTCTAGAATCATCTGTTCAATAATAATCTGTGAGCACAAAGGCTGCGCTAGTCATGCAAAAGTGAACAAAACATGCCTCCTTACGCCAAAGCACTTGCTGCTAAACAATAGAAAAAGAGAAGCAGTGATGCTCACAGCACAGGAGGCACAGAAGGAGCACCTGACTAAGCCGGGGAGAGAACAAGAGCTTCCCCAAGGACCGAACATCTGAGCTGAGATCTGCAACGTGAGATGACTTAGCCAGGAGAAGGTGGAAAAGGAGAAAGACAAAGAATAAAAAGAGAGCACAAAGCAAAACACCCCCTGGGGACTGTAAGTAATTCATTGAGGCCTGGGCAGAGAGTTCAAGTGGGAAGGGGTGAGCGATCAACCCGGAGAGAGAAGGAGGGGCCAGGAATTAGGGACTACGGTGCTGGATCTTTACCCCCAAAGTCAGTGGGCAGCTACTGGGGGCTTGTACCTTAGGAAGACTCTGGCTGTAGTGTGGAGGGTGGACTGGAGGGGCCGAGATGTGAAGCCGGGAGTCAAGGGCTGCTGTGCTGATGGGTTTAAACGTTAACCCGAAGAAGCCTATAGAGAGAAAGGGGAAGAAGGGAGATTCCGGAGAGAGGATGCCGGATGTGGCAAAGGCCCTGAGGAGATGAGGATAATGGACTCTGGGGCCCAGTGGAGGACTGGCCTGAGGGGAAGAGGGCAATGGGAGTAAGGAGTTGAGGAGGGTGCTTGGGGGGGGGGGTCGGGTAGCAGAATATCCTAGGAGTTCCTGAACAGTTGCTTTCATTTTTCTTTCAGTCTTCCTGAATTCCCCTCCATAGCCTTTGGTTTTGGTGTAAATTCTAAATGCCTATACGGGCATCCAGGACTTTACATTAGGGAGCTCTGGAATAGGGCCCAAGGATTTGCATTTCTAACATGTGATGCTGATGCTGCTTAGGGACCACACCATGAGAATCTGGGCCTGAAGAAAGGAAAAGGGGACATCCCCAAGGCTTGGATGACTTCCAAGCTGGCCCAGGCTGCATTCAGATCACTCCTCAAGGCACCACCAGGAAGGTCTTCTGGGCAGCTTCCCCAGGGGGTGCCCAAAGAAGGTCCCGATGCAGCCTGTCCCTCCAGAGTAGAAGTCCCTGGCAGGGTAGAAGTCTCAAGACTGTTTCTGCATATCTGCAAAAGCACCAGCAAGCAAGTGGCATGTGATTACCTACAGGTCCCTGAAAGCTCCCGTGTATGCTCTGGAGGGCCATTTTAACATTTTCCTGATACAACATGTTGATTCCTAGGTACTGATCTCCTTAAGAAGTAATGGAAAATAACGATCACTAGTGCAACGTATCAAAAGACGCAGCTAGGGAGTGTTCTAATTCCATGTAGCTGCCCAGTAACAGCCAGGACATGGAAGCAACCGAAGTGTCCATCGACAGATGAATGGATAAAGAAGATGTGGCACATATATACAATGGAATATTACTCAGCCATAAAAAGAAATGAAATTGAGTTATTTGTAGTGAGATGGATGGACCCAGAGTCTGTCAAACAGAGTGAAGTAAGTCAGAAAGAGAAAAACAAATACCATATGCTAACACATATATATGGAATCTAAAAAAACAAGTTCTGAAGAACCTAGGGGCAGGACAAGAATAAAGACACAGATTTAGAGAATGGACTTGAGGACACAGGGAGGGGGAAGGGTAAGCTGGGACGAAGTGAGAGAGTGGCATGGGCATATATACACTACCAAATGTAAAACAGATAGCTAGTGGGAAGCAGCCGCATAGCACAGGGAGATCAGCTCAGTGCTTTGTGACCACCTAGAGGGGTGGGCTAGGGAGGGTGGGAGGGAGACGCAAGAGGGAGGGGATATGGGGATGTATTTATATGTATAGCTGATTCACTTTGTTAAACAGCAGAAACTAACACATCATTGTAAAGCAATTATACTCCAATAAAGATGCTAAAAAAAGAAAGATACAGCTAGTATGGTATGATTTTGATAATCAAAAATCCAATACACGGAATTCGCTGGCAGTCCAGTGGTTAGGACTCTGTGCTTTCACTGCTGATGGTCCGGGTTCCATCCCTGGTCGGGGAATTAAGATCCCACAAGCCGTGGGGTGTGGCAAAAAAAAAAAAGGTATTAAAAAATAAAGATTGCTTTTTAAAATATCCAGTACAAAGTTATGCAGTCATTTTGTTATGTGAGAAATGACTGTAGAAATATGTATCTTGAACTTGGCTTCTAGCTGGCTTCAATAAGGTACAAAATCAAGGGCTAATTAATCCTGGGACTCTTTCCCAATGAGCCAAGTAAACATAACTGAGTTATTTTTTTACCACCCACAATAAGATGATGCTTTCACTGAGTTGCTATAGAAATGTTCTAATGATTTTAAATAGTATAAACATCATACTAAATAGCAACAGGCAGATTTATAGCCTAGAAAACTTACCCCAATCTCTTTTAAATCTTTGTCTTGTAGTAACTGAAGTGGATCAATAAAAGTTTGCTTTACATTAATATCAAGAGAGTCTTTCACCTCAGCCATTAGCTTCATGGATTCGCCAACTTCTATCAATGCATTGCCTTCAATAGAAAATACAAATAAAAATGGTTCTTTAGCAGACCTAACTCTAAGTTAACAGTGATATTTGTTTAATTTTTTCCCAAAAGTTTGTGATGATCAATGGTGTGTAACAAGGTCCTCAACTCTGGGACCTTTGAATCTTGACCCAGAGAAAAGAAAATGTAAAAACGAGAAAGTCTTTCTAAATATTTTCCACATTTTCCTCACTACTTCTGCACTTTCTCCACCGCATAGAATAAACCTCTAGAATAAAACTCTGAGGCTCAGACAGACTGAGGCACTTACCGTATCAGCCACTAGATGGGGTTAAAGCTTCTTTTTTTAAACTGGTAGTTTTGTGAACTGGCACCAAGGGTTCCTTAGAGGCGCAAGAACAAAATCCGTCTTTGTAAACAATAAAAGGATTCATTCATCAGGGGTTAAGTATTAACCAATAAAGATTACAACAGAAATAAATGAACAAAACCTCATCTCAGCTTCTAGCTGCTAGGTCTTCTTGAGGCCACTCCTTGTATTCTTGAGATGGTTCTCAGTTTCCCTACCCCTTCTGATGTCAAAGAAAGTCTGGCAGTGTCACACAGGACAGCCTTTCAGCAGGGTGGGAAGGGTCTGCTCTTGCAGTGAGGTCCAGGCCAGACATGCCAGACTTGGGCAGCGATGGGCAGCTTTAGCTGGATTAAATCCTGGTATTCGGCACCCGCTAACCTGCAGTGATTTGAAAGCAGGCATCCTGGTAGCTGAGCACTATGAGGGTTGCAGGTTTTCTAGAAGACATGTCTGGGAAATGCTGCACTAAACTGAACTCTTTTTCCTGTAGTTGGGGTCTTCATAAAAAGTTAGAGCTTGGGGTCTCTCAACTCCCAGGCTTGAAGAAGACCTGAAATCCCAGCCCAAGAATTTGCATTTCTAGCTAATTCTGACCTTCAAGTTGTTTCACCTACGAGTCATAGGCACATACAGTTGATTCATCTGTAAAACAGGGATAGCAATATCACCTCACCTCACTTTTTATTTTTTTTAAGGAATAGCATAGACAGTGTATGTCACAGGACCTTGCAAAATGTAAGTGGAAACCATTACTCCAAACCACAGCTGACCGAGACTCCGTTGTGGCGCATGGGTAGCTTTGTTCCTCCTGGGAGGCTGTGTCTCCTTAACTAACTCCCCAGAGTCTGGTTCTAACTCATTCTGAGATGGAAATGAGAACGTCCTTTCCCGGCCTGAGGACTCTTTCCTGCCCAGCTGGTCAGAAATGGAGGATATGGCTTCTGACCCCACTGCTCACTCTGCCACCAGTGCCCACACCCCAGAATGTCAGTTAATTTAGCTTTGACGAAAACATTTCTAAATATGTTTCTTACAAGGCGCCAAAGGTGACATTCTGAATATTAGCTGTCACCTCCATGGGTTTGATGCCCCCTCTCCTTGCTCAAGATTCCAATTCCACGAGGACGTGGGACTCAGCCTCCACCAGTGGAGGTCTCTGCCCTTGAGGAAATTTCTGTGTGGCCCCAAGAAGAAAGCATCTGACAGCACAGTCTTTCCCTCAGAACAGCAAGCAACCCCTCTGTTCCTAATGCCCTCCTGATGTCAGCTCTCTCTCGCTGGGTACCTAGGAAGCTACCAAATTGTCTGCCCTTCAAATCCCCTGCCCTGTCACCTGCCCAGACGCACTGCAGGACTGTCCGTGGATGTCAGGGCCTGCCTGGCGGTCTCTCCTGTTCCCTCCACTGGTCAGCCTTCAGGACAAGGAATAGGCCATCTTGGCCCCATTCACCCAGGAAATAAAATAAAATTCACATTATACTGCTCTGAAGGATACTGTTACCCTCTGTGACTAACTAGTGTTTTAACATATGGGATTTTTTTTTTTAAGTTTTCAAAAGACTTTCCCCCCACTTTCCTAGATGAATGACTATGGCCTAATACCGGAATCGTCGATTTCCATATCTTGCTTTGCTACCACTACATGAGTAGCAAACGTGACAAATTCTCCCGGAAGATTTAACATATCAAATTCGACTCACACCCAATATAATTTATCAATTTAAAGTAATCTCAATCAAAATTTAGTAAGTTTTTTGGGGATTCTCTGAGGGTCCAGTAGTTAGGACTCAGCGCTTTCACTACCAAGGGCCTGGGTTCAATCCCTGGTCAGGGAACTAAGATCCTACAAGCAAAAAAAAAAAATTTTTAAAGTTTCTTGTTTTTTAGTAGAGGGGACTTAAAATGACTCTAAGTTTCATCTGGAAAAATAAAACAGATGAGTATGTCCATGAAATTTTTATAACATCTAGGGGAAATTTTAGTTAAATATATTAAAATATATTTTAAAATGACAATATTTAAAACAACATGACACTTGATCAAAACAGGGTACAGACCAAGAAAACAGAAGAGAAAGACCAGAAACAAACTTAAAATATATAAAATTTTATAACAAAACAGTTATAGAAAATCAGCAGAAAAATGTTGAACTTTTCAATAAAATGTTAGGGCAACTGGCTATGTATTTGTAAGAACACAAAATGAAAACCCTATTGCACAGTACTCATCCATTAAATTCAGGAGCTTGGGAATTTAAAGGTAAGAAAAGAAAACATATGTATGAAAATAAAGTATAAATAAACATTTACACAGCTTATTACTGAAGCAGGGAGGAGCGGAAAAGTTTTTCTAAACGTGATACCAAAGCCATAAACCATAAAAGAAGACCAATGAGCCCCACTAAATAAAAAGCAAATATCTTCTTCCATTAAGATGTCCTCCACCTACAACATCAGAAGGTACATGCCTACCTGGGGCAAAACTTCATCAACATATGAGACAGACAAAAAGCAAGTATCCTGACCACTGAAAAAGCTCATAAACCAGTAAGAAAAAAAAAATGAACACCTTAATAGAAAAATAGGCAAAGGACACAGATATACAATTCACAAAGATGATGACAAACGTGAAAAAAAAAATCTACCTCACACATAATCCAAAAAATAAAGTTAAAACAGCACCCAGATATCAGTTTTATTTGCTATAAATCAAATTATCAGTTATTTAAAAGGAAACTAAAAAGACAATTCCCAGAGTTAGTACCTGTGCTGAGAAACACACTCTCATACCTTCCTGGCAGGAGTGTCAAAATGGTATAACCTTTCTGGAGGGTCATTTGGGACTATGCTTCAAACACCTGAAAAATCAGGCATACTCTTTTTTTTTCTGGTCAAGCACTATGAGTTTATTTAGTAATGTAAAATCCAGTGAGGATTAATTTTTCATAGCTGCCTACATATACAGGTTTTCATGGCATACAGATTGTCAAGAGAGCTCTCTAGGTTACAAAAGATACTTGTCACCAGATTTTTTCTGCTAAAATAATAACTTTAATGGAAGATATGACAAAAAAATTAGATAAGATTTGGTACAGTATAAGACACCAGCAGGGTACAGTGCCAAATTAAGAACAGAAAAAAGGTCTTTAGAAGATAGCAGGTTCTAATATGTATAACTGTTTCAATTTGTGTACACCTGAAACTAACACATATTGTAAATCAACCATACTCCAATAAAAATTGTTTAAAAAAAGGATAGTAGGTTCTAGCTATTTATCAAACTATATAAACTTATAAGTAAAGCCCTACCAAATTAGTGTACCAGAGGTACCAAATTTGTACACCAAAGGAGTGGGACTTAGAAAGACTGCATTTCTTTTTTGAAATTCAAAGCATCTCTAGGAACTAGAAAAGTTATTTTACAGATGACTACACTAAAATGTTAAACAACAAATGATCTACTAAGGCAACGTAAATATGTTTCAAGGCTAGAAAAACTATCCCCATACTTTCCTGACATCACTCTAAACATAAGAATCGCAGTATGCTAAAATCTCAAAGCTAATATATTAAACATATTTGATATTTGGAGCTTTCTGAAATTATTTTTAGAATTTTACTTTACAAGTGGGAAATGCACTTTTAATTTTTTAATGACATTTTCCTCCTAGAGATAGAATTTAGACATTTATATCTTTTCAGAGCAAAAAAGTCATCAAAATAGGAGACTAGCATAGTACCAGCCTACAGATAATGGTTACACATGCATGTGTCTTTATTAGCCTCCAAACCATTAGGAATTTATTTCAAACAAGGTTCTCTAAGCCTTCATTATTTGTATGCAAAATCCAGAGAAAACCAGTTTATCAAATTACGATTTCATGGTCACGATCAGGGAAAATGATACTCTTCCCTGTGAAGAAATACATGTCAGTCGTTGCAGAGGCAAGTTAGACCTCTTTTATTGTGTGTTACCCAGGACAAACCTTTGCCAATATCTAATTACCCACGGAATCAAATTTAAATAAAATGAAGTATTAGAAGGTAGCCCATATGATGGGTATAATTTAGATGATCTTAGCCTAAATTTATTTTTGCTCCTCAATAAAGCACACTGACTCAGATATATGTTCCACAGATGATATGCTTTTTCTTAATCAGTGCAGAAATAGCATTTGTACATCCTGAAAATATGTTTATCTGTCTATCCATGAAGAAAGCTTCCTCTTATTTGCCTCTGTCTTGTTTTGAATATATAATTCAGAGGTTTACAAACTTTTCCAATGACTGTATTTCAGCTTGTGTTTCATCAGGAAACATTTGAAAGGATGTTTTTATTTTACAGGTTTACTATTTGAAATTCATTATTGCTCAAGTTAGTAGTCGTGGGCAGTTTTCCTGTAGAGAGCAATTCCAAACACAATGAGTAGATGCCTGCTGGCTCGAATCAATAGGTTGTACCTCTTGTCCTTTCCCTATATTTGACCACACACTATTCTGTTGTTCATGGCCTCAGGCAAATCAAATTGGTCCTTTCTTCCCACCCCTCCCAAAAGGCCAAAACAGTTCAATGGCTAAGTTTTAAATAAGATTTATAACTGCCTGCAATAATCCTTTGAAGTTTTCTTACTAGAATGAAACATGAGTTTTAGGAGAGTTTCTGATTTAGTTGAAGTGGGGGGGGGCGGGTAACAAGCAATAGTCACAGTATTTTTAAAAAATATAATAATTCAGTGAAGATTATACATCAACTGATGTTGCCCTAAGTTTTCTCAGTTTTAAATGATTTTTTTTTTAATTGCTAGGGAACAGGTTTAGACACAGGAAATAAAATACAGGCCAGTCCATTATTTACATGCTCTTCATCTTGGCCATGAGGTCTTCCAAGCTTTCACCAGAATCTTCCACTGTTACTTCAGGTACAGAATCTTCTTGCTTTGGGGGAAGTGTATATGCCACTGTAATTCCTTCAGGTAAGTCAGGAATTGGACCTGAAGAATTTTTCAGTTCCTCTTCTGAAACCTCGGGTACCAACTGAATACCCCACTCATTGTCGTCATGTATTATCTCTTCCTCTTTTTGAACAACCTCCTGTGTGGGCAGTGCTGCTACCTTTTTCTTATATTCTTCCTGTTGCTTCCTACAATTTCTGTCATCACACTGAGGATTTGGCTTCATGGACATAGTAGGGAAAAAAATCCTGCATTGCATTGTATCCAAGGTAAAAACTAACAGTACCAAAATTTAACAGAAACTTTAACACATTTTGTACCAAGATCCCAGCAACCACTCCCATAGTGGTAGGAAGACTGGCTGCACAAACACCTTCTCGTTTCAGTCTTCTCATCAATATTTGCAGCAACTACAAGTGGTGGAGTACACACAAAACAAGCAGATTCTCCAGGAATTATGAGCTGTATATGCCCTGAAACTGCATTTTCACTGACCCCAGACTCCATCCATGTTTGTCCAAGCTCATTACAAGCTGTATTTATTGTCATTCGAGCTTCAAAACTGTCCACACAGCTAAGAACTAGGTCAACAGGTTTTCCTTCTTCTAATCCACCATTACTTATTCTATTCATGAAACGTTCAAAGTTTTCTACTGTGGTTACATTGTAGTTGTGTACTTCAAAAAGAACACCAGGATTAATGTTCCTCAAAGTATGTTCTGCTGCTTGAACTTTACTTAATCCTGCTTGATGAGGTTGGAAGAAAAGTCTATTCATATTGGCCAGTTCCACCTTGTCATAGTCAAAGAGTAGCAACTTACCAATGCCACATCTTGTCAGCATTTCAGCAGTCACACTGCCAACTCCACCAACACCTACTATTGCTACAGCAAAGGTACGGATTTTCTCATAGTCACTTACAATTCCCATTCGTTTCAATGCCATCAGGCGGCTGTAGGGGTTGGAATCCACCACTTCGGGGCTCATCTTTTCGACGCAGGCCCAACCGCCTCCTCCATTGCCGCCCCCCAGGGCCCGGCAACTTCTCTCCTGGGCCAGTTCCCGCTCCGGCTCCTCGACCCACTGCTGCAGCCGCTCCACAGACTCGGCCATGGCTGCGACCCTGGCCGCCAGTGCTCCCAGCCCCAGTTGTCGACGTCGCCGCCGCCCCATGCTGTTGGCCTGCTGGGCCCGCGAGGGGTATGTGAGGAGGCACCTCGCAACGGCCTTCCTAGCCCACAACCCTGAGGAAGCCCTCCCGGCGCCTCCTGGACTGACAATCTCTGCCGCTCCCGTGGGCCTCCCGGCCGGGCATACTCTTGACCCAGCAACTTCACTACCAGGAATTTCATCTAAGAACATAATCTTGGATATTCCCAAAGTTTTATCCATGAAAGTGCCTATCGTAAATGCTATGTAATTTTTTTTTCCACATAAAGAAGAAAAATCTAAATACCCTAAATGGGATTGATGGAACAAACTGTGGATACATGGACCATTATGCAGCCTTTAAAAACAATATGGTAGAAGACTGTCTTATGACATGGACCACGCTATAGCCAGTGGGAATAAGTAGATTACAAAAGGGAATTAGGGTCCCTATCAAACTACCACTGGCATTTTTCACAGAACTGCAACAAAAAATTTCACAATTTGTATGGAAACACAAAAGACCCCGAATAGCCAAAGCAATCTTGAGAACGAAAAACGGAGCTGGAGGAATCAGGCTTCCTGACTTCAGACTATACTACAAAGCTACAGTAATCAAGACAGTATGGTACTGGCACAAAAACAGAAAGACAGATCAATGGAACAGGATAGAAAGCCCAGAGATAAACCCACGCACATATGGTCACCTTATCTTTGACAAAGGAGGCAGGAATGTACAGTGGAGAAAGGACAGCCTCTTCAATAAGTGGTGCTGGGAAAACTGGACAGGTACATGTAAAAGTATGAGATTAGATCACTCCCTAACACCATACACAAAAATAAGCTCAAAATGGATTAAAGACCTAAATGTAAGGCCAGAAACTATCAAACTCTTAGAGGAAAACATAGGCAGAACACTCTATGACATAAATCACAGCAAGGTCCTTTTTGACCCACCTCCTAGAGAAATGGAAATAAAAACAAAAGTAAACAAATGGGACCTAATGAAACTTAAAAGCTTTTGCACAGCAAAGGAAACCATAAAGAAGACCAAAAGACAACCCTCAGAATGGGAGAAAATATTTGCAAATGAAGCAACTGACAAAGGATTAATCTCCAAAATTTATAAGCAGCTCATGCAGCTTAATAACAAAAAAACAAACAACCCAATCCAAAAATGGGCAGAAGACCTAAATAGACATTTCTCCAAAGAAGATATACAGATTGCCAACAAACACATGAAAGAATGCTCAACATCACTAATCATTAGAGAAATGCAAATCAAAACTACAATGAGATATCATCTCACACCAGTCAGAATGGCCATCATCAAAAAATCTAGAAACAATAAATGCTGGAGAGGGTGTGGAGAAAAGGGAACCCTCTTACACTGTTGGTGGGAATGTAAATTGATACAGCCACTGTGGAGAACAGTATGGAGGTTCCTTAAAAAACTACAAATAGAACTACCATATGACCCAGCAATCCCACTACTGGGCATATACCCTGAGAAAACCATAATTCAAAAAGAGTCATGTACCAAAATGTTCATTGCAGCTCTATTTATGATAGCCCGGAGATGGAAACAACCTAAGTGTCCATCATCGGATGAATGGATAAAGAAGATGTGGCACATATATACAATGGAATATTACTCAGCCATAAAAAGAAACGAAATTGAGCTATTTGTAATGAGGTGGATAGACCTAGAGTCTGTCATACAGAGTGAAGTAAGTCAGAAAGAGAGAGACAAATACCGTATGCTAACACATATATATGGAATTTAAGAAAAAAAAATGTCATGAAAAACCTAGGGGTGAAACAGGAATAAAGACACAGACCTACTGGAGAACAGACTTGAGGATATGGGGAAGGGGAAGGGTAAGCTATGACAAAGCGAGAGAGAGGCATGGACATATATACACTACCAAACGTAAGGTAGATAGCTAGTGGGAAGCAGCCGCATAGCACAGGGAGATCAGCTCGGTGCTTTGTGACCGCCTGGAGGGGTGGGATAGGGAGGGTGGGAGGGAGGGAGACGCAAGCGGGAAGAGATATGGGAACATATGTATATATATAACTGATTCATTTTTTGTTGTGAAGCTGAAACTAACATACCATTGTAAAGCAATTATACTCCAATAAAGATGTTAAAATGAAAAAAAAGGGAATTAGGGTATGTATACTATAACCCCATTTTAATTTTTTTAAAGGTGTATGTGAATATATATATAAGAATAAACAAAAGGTATAAAGGATATACAGCAAAGTGTGTAATTGGGCCCATCACTGGGTAGGGAACTATGGGTGATGCTGGCATTTTCCTTTATTTTACTTGCCTATGTTTTCTAAACTTCCTGCGATAAACATGTATTACTTTTCTTTTAATTTTTATTTATTTATTTATATTTTGGCTGCGCCACTCGGCATGCAGGATCTTAGTTCCCTAACCAGGGATCGAACCCACGCCCCCTGCATTGGAAGCACCAGGGTCTTAACCACTGGACCGCCAGGGAATTCCCGAACATGTATTGCTTTGATAATATGAAAAAAATAACAAGCGTTGTTAAGATGAAGGTTTTGTGCATAACCTAAAATTGACAGAGGATGCATTCTCAGCTCTCCCGGGTGATGTGGGGATACTCACCAAAAGCGGAGCCTTCCCCGAGCTCCTTCCCGTATTTCAGCATGCAGTCGCCCAGCAAGCCTTCCGTCTGTGGGTATCCCGTGGTTTTCACCTGTCCTCGGATCTTCGACACAGTGTTCAGCATTCCTAGCTTAGCTCTGTATGCTTAAAAACATTATCATTTGTAATTCCTTAAAATGGCACGGCGGAGTGACAGGTACATAGCATGTAACAAATGGGGCTGGAGAAATCAAGGTCGCCCTAGACAAAATGTCAGAGCCCTGAGACAGGAAGGTAACTTGTGTCACCAAGTTACTCGCATGGTTTTCTAGATTCTTAACCAGGGTGGGTGCTAAGGGCACTGTTGCACAAACGTGATGAAAAATAGAAATTATGGCGCACACTGTGGACTCCCAAACAATAGTAACCGGGGCTCTCATTACCCCACCCACAGCTCACTCACTGAGTCACACACTGACACCTGGGCAGACAAATTTTCCTGGGGACCAATTGCAAACTAACAACAGAATTGCTGAGGTGGGTGTTGCAAACCAACTGGTGGTTAACAGCCCCCCACCCCCAAGAGTGTATCCAGACTGATGATATTTAACTTCATGGTACAGGGCCACTGCGCTGCACACTCCTGTCTAGGAAGCCTAACCAGTAGGAGACAGATGCCCCCGTGGGGAACCGGAGTCTGTGTTGATGGTCCCTCAGGTGCAGCTCCACTCCTGGACCCAAGGGAAATGACAGGTGGCCACTAAGTCCTTTCTCTGACTTAGGCCATGAGTGTTTACTAATCCCAGCTCTGTGCAACACACCATGCTAATCACTGGGACTCCAGAGAGACCTAAGACAGCCTCTGACCTCAAGGAGCTCACAGTCCTTGCTCCTCAAGGAGCTCACAGTTACTGGAGGGCAGAAAATACAAGATGTAATTATGCAAATAAAGTCTGATGTGGTGTACAGAAAGGAAAATATAACAATACGCTGAATAAAGATGGAAAGATGCCCCCAAAAGTGCAGAAATAGTGTAAGATGAAGAAGGGGGAATGCTTATTATGGTTTATAACCAACAGATAAAGAGTAGGCTGCTTTGACCAAAGAAGAAATTAATACAGGACAAATCAGGAAATACCTAGGGGGAAATGTGACTATGAACTGAACACCAAGCTAAGGATTTGGGAATTTATTCTGTAGGCTAGGTGGTGGGTGAGGTAATTTTAGGTTGTAAAAGGGTAAATTTTTATTGTCTTTTATTTTAATAATTACATATTTATTGTGCACGCAAAGCACCAAGGATCCTGTTAAAATGTACAGTCTGATGCAGTCAGTCTGGGATGAGCCCAAGTTTCTGCATTTCCCACAGTCTCTCCGGGGATGCCGATCCTCCTGGGCCATGGACCACACTTCGAGTAGCAAAGCTTTAGACACTCACGGTGCCAGTCTTTTTGAATCTTGCCCACCTCATCCTTGAAGCACTTATCCTCCTGGTCCCCAGGCACACAGGCTTCACTCTCCCGCCACACAGACACACAGACACACACACCCACACACACAGACACACGGACACACAGACACACAGACACACACACACACACACACACACTCTGCTCCTCTTCCCCACTGTCAGGGCGGGATGTGGGATGCAGCAGTCCTGTGACTGAGGGCCACTAAATGGAATGAGAGGCTGCTAGGCCTCCCTTCCTCTTCTCCAGGAATAACCAGAGGTGTCTGGCCAAGTGGACACTTTGGCCGGTACCTCCCTACCCCATTCCAGTGTCAGCTCATTGAGGGCAGGTTCCCTTCCAACTCAACCGTATATCCCAGGACCCAGGAAACCCCCTTGCCTAGAGGGAGCATTTGCTAAACATGTGCTGACTGATTCATCAGGAAAAGGGGACTTGTGTGGTTCAATCACGGATGAGGCCCAGGAAGAGATATATAATTATGCTTTTTAAAACTATAATCAGCTGTACAATTTTAAAGAATTCTATACCTGCCATCCTGCCTGGACATAATATTTTATTCAATGTATGTTTTTAAATTTATTTTCTAGATTTTCAGATGGTTGGATGTGTGCTGATTTCTACAGCCGAGGCAATCACGATAATTATGTGCAAATAATAAATTCATACAAAGTAAAGGCAGATTTGGAAAGCCACAGAATTCAAAGCTTGGACGCCCTCTATTGGTTTCTATAGTTTAGAACTTAGGAAAACTTCATCAAGGGATGCTGCTTCAATACCTAGGAGTGAAAAGACCTCCTGTCCAGAAGCTGCGGTAACACTGGACCTTCTCATGTTTCTCATGTTTATCATACCTCACTTCATCAGCATTTAAGCCATGAAGTGAAAGCCATTTCAAAGTCACAGGCACCGTTAGAACAGGATGGCAGAAATTTTTTTAAAAAAAAGAGGAAACAGCTGAATAAGAAAACACGGACAAAATATTTAGTGGGTTTCCGAAGCACCTCATAAAAAATGTCTTTGCTTAGCAGTGTCTTGCTGCTAAGACCAAGACTCCACCCAAATAACGTCACCATAGTTCACAGAAGTGTCTGTTCTGTTTGTCATCAGCTAGGATTCACTGCAACTACCTTTAGTCACTCAACTTAAAAAAACTGAATTTCATTATTCGGACACAGAGGACATTGTTTCTAGATCACGTCAACCATACGCTCGGTAAACCTAGATTATTAGAACCTGTGACAGCGAATGAACAATTGAATATTTCAAGACATTTTCTAACTTTACCTGGATTCGGCTGAAGATATTCTGTAGCTTTTGAAAGAATTTCTGCAACAGCTTTATTGGTAACGTCTATTTTCTTAAAAAAAGAGAAACACATGAAGATATTGGTAAATGACCAACAGTGAATTCTACAGAAAAACAAACAGAGAAATAAATTTGATCAATTTAATATTTATAACACCATTTAATGATTTTAATCCAAATGGACATTTTCAACATTTTTGGAAGAGGTAGTATTTTCTTAACTTTTTGATTCGGGGACATCCTTCCAATACTTGTTCCTCCCAATGATGGGAGAACACTAACTTCTTATTCAACATTAAAATGAATATTAATGTAATATTTAGGAAACTTGGACAAGTTATTATGCTCCACTAGTTTATTGATTGTGCTTGAAGGTCTCTCAAAACCAAGACTAGACACTTCTGAGCCAAACTTCCCTTATTTGCTGGGTGAACTTGAATTTCTGTACTTGTATAAGGATGCCATAATAAGGATTCACGTGAGAAACGACCTCAGTAAGCCAACGACAAAAGAATCATCATCACTAGTATCAATATTATCACTGAAATACATATTCTTCTGTTCTGTGGGCAGAAGATGCTAACAACAAAGGTTTCCCTGCCAGGTTAAGACTGAATCTTTCCTTCCTCAAAACCATTCCTGTATACTCTGGCTGTTGGTTACCCAGAAAATGAATGTGAGACTATACAATAAAAGTTAACTATGCGCATGTCAATAGCTTTACTTTATACCATCAACAGCCCAAAAGAAAATGTTTTCAAGGAAAAGGAGATCCTGCTCATAAGAGCAGCAATTAAATAATAAGCAATAACGAGGAAGAAATATTATGAGAAATGTACAATACATACTTGAAAAGCCACATTCCTAGATGGGAAAATTCAGTTTTGGAAATAGGTAAATCCTCCCCCAATTAACATGTAAAAGTAATTCAAAGCCTATCACACTTTCAATTTTTTCTTTTTTTGGTTAAAACTTGGCAAATTAATAATAAAGTTAGATTCATACATCACACTACATACAGGATTAAAAATATGGACCTAAAAACAAACTGTAAAAGTACTAAACCATGCAGGAGAATATTTTGAAATACGGGGGTGGAAAGGATATTCCAGGCATCACCGAAATCCAAGCATCATAGATGAAAAGACCTAAGTTCTGACTCCATAAAATTTCAAATGGAACGGTGAAAAGACACAATACACGAAGTTTGATAAAAGTGGTGAACAGAAACTAAAATGCAAAAAAATAAAGGGTTAGTATCTATTATACTCCGTACTCCCATTAGAAAAAAAAAGCCACCTGACTAGAAAGAAGGCAATCCACAAAAGAGGAGAAATACAAGTTGCTTATAAACATTTGACAAAATATTCAGGAAAATTATAAAAAAGGAGATACTTTCCACTCACCAGATTGACCCCCCAAAAATCTTTTTTAATTGACTAGACGCCATATAAGGTATTATACAGGTATGGAGTAATGGGCCCTTTCATATACAATAGGAGTGCTAAATGATACGACCTCTCTGAGATCAAGGTGAAGTACCTATTAATGTACCATCTATCATACTTCCAGGGGCTTAGCATCTAGAAACATACCAGTAAACTGCACGGAGGTAAAAAGATGTTTCTTAGACCATCTTACATAGTCATAAAAACTGAAAACAACTTAAATTACAATCAATAGGAGACTGACTTGATAAATTGTGAAACATCCAACTAAGGAATACTCTTTAATCACAGGGGGAAACACACAGAAGATCTATAGGTACTGGGAAGACGTCCACTGTACACTGCTAAGGAAAAAAGCAAGCTGGGAGTGATGGCTAATACAAAAAACCTCATTTTTGTCATTTAAAAATCTATGATCTGTTCAGGGTCAGAAGCTTTCAACGAAGCACTCTCATCCAACCTGAAATTGTATTTGTTCCCCTTAGCTGAATGCTTAAATCTGGGGCCCCAGGAAGGTTTAAAAAGACAGTACAGAAATGAAGAAATGAATCAAACCCATATTACTGACACACGTGTGCTAGCTGTGTGTGTGGGAATGCGCCTGTGTGTATGTGTACTTGACCTGGTAACTTGTTTTGTAAACTTTGAACTCTCTTCAGTATGTTCAATTGTTTATGAAGATCTTTGAAATGTTTAAGAAAATTTGATAACTTAATGTTTACATTTTATTAGAGTTACAAGAAATGTAAGTGCATAGGAGAATCCTGTTTTAGATTTGATGTTACGTTTGAGGGACTCCTATGCACTGCATTTGTATTGCAGGAATTTGCATTAAGGGGATTTGCTTAATTATGTAACTAGTTGGTGACAAATGTATAAGGATTTCATCTGTTCAGCTTATGACTTAATGGAAACTAAAATGAAGATTAACTAAAAATGATCATCATTTTTATACTGAAATTACTAATTTATAAATAAAATCTATATGTGCAGTTTAAGGCTTAAGAAGAACTAGGTTTTTTATCGTATAATATCGCTTATATGTGGAATCAAGAAAAATGGTACAGATGAACTTATTTGCAAAGCAGAAATAGAGTCACAGATGTGGAGAACAAACGTATGGTTACCAAGGGGGGAAGGGAGGATGGGATGAATTGGGAGATTGGGACTGACATATATACACTACTATGTATAAAACAGATAGCTAATGAGAACCTGCTGTGTAGCACAGGGAACTCTACTCAGTGCTCTGTGGTGACCTAAATGGGAAGGAAATCCAAAAAAGAGGGGATATATGTATATATATGACTGATACACTTTGCTGTACAGCAGAAACTAACACAACATTGTAAAGCAACTATACTCCAATAAAAATTAATTTAAAAAAAAAAAGAAAAAAACCTAGGTTTTAGATTTATAACTTTATATATATTCAACATTAATTAAAACACAATGTAGAGTGGTCATTCCATGTATACAACCCTCTTTGGACATGAAAAGCCACCAGGTATCTAGGAGTCACCTCTGAGGGGTGAGGATGAGAGGAGGTAGAGGCGGGAATACTTTCTACTTAGGCTCTTCTATTTCTTTTGGGAAAAAAATGCCAAGAAACAAATGGCCTAAAACTCACACGCCTTGATGTACACATACTGGTGGTGCTTCCAGGACAGCCCAGGAATCAATACAAGGAATAAACCCTTTACAAATTAAAGAGGATGCCACCAAACATGTTGGCAAAAATAGGCAATCAAGTTGAACACTGAAAAAAATAACTCACGTAGTTTAAAAACAAAAAAATTAAAAACAAAACCTCCCTTCTAGAATAACTGAGGACATCGGGGGGTGGGTATGTGTGTTCAGGTTAGGAAAATGCAATGCAAATATCTCAGCAAACCATCAGGACAAACAGGGGAAAGCAGAGAGGTGAAAATTATTTTTGTAAAGCCTACCTGGTGTGAGGGCGTCTTTGTTGGTAGATTAAATCTGGAATTTCCATCTGTGTTGGTACCCTACCCCTGAGGTGCCCAAAGCCTGTGCCACTGACACTCCCAGACCTCAGCCCTTGGGTTAGAGAGCTGCTGGCAGCCCTGATTTCTGACACCTGTTCATAATAATCTTTTTTTTTTTTTAATTTAAAGAATCGGGAGATTGGGATTGATATATATACACTAATAGGTATAAAATGGATAACTAATAAGAACCTGCTGTATAAAAAAATAAATAAAATAAAATTCAAAAAAAAATCCACATCTGTCATTATATCCTTCTAATTCCTTATGTAGTTTGTGTTTTCCCTTTTCCCTCTCTTGCTCACACTTAGTAGAGGTGGTCTTTCAAAAAAAAAAAAAAAAAGTTCTTGGTTTTATTTATTGATTCTACCTTTTTGTTATTATGGTTTTATATTTTATTAATTTCTCATTTATCTGTATTGATTTCTTCCTTCCACCTAGAGTGATTTACTTTGCTGTTAGTTTCCTAGCTTTTTGGCTGGAATGATTTATTCACTCTCTTCCAACAATTTATTTTCTATTAAATGCATTGAAGACTTAGCCATATATCACAGATTTTGACATAGACAGTTCTCATGACTAAGTGATCTTTAATTTTACTTTTCATTTCCTCTTGAAACAAGAATTATTTTTACATGTTCTCCCATTTCCAAACATCCAGAATTTGGCAACTATACCTTCCTTGTAATCCTTGTGTTCTATGATTTTACTGTGAGAAATCTGTTGAGTTGTTTTCCCATATCCCAATAAATAACTGATTATTGAAATTGTTTTAAAGAAATTTGAAATGAATTCTCAATTTGAGGAATGCAAGTATCTATATGATTTACAATCAAAGTTAATAGTCATACTTTATGAAAATTCTCTATGAGCCTATCTATTATTTAATTATGTTATTTTATGAGAAAGGTATGCAAAATCTTCTACTCTGATATTTGTCAGTTCTCTATGCATTGACAGCTTTTACTTTACATATTCAGATGCCATGTTAAATGATGCATAATGGTTCATAACTGCTATAATTTCCTGAGAGATTACATGATACATCTTTCTATACTTTTTTAAAACCTTCTTTTTCCTTTTAGTGGCCTCATAATTCACCCGTTTTAGAAAGTCCTTAAAACTTCTTGACCTATTAAATATTTCCATGCTTTTCACTGCTGTAATAAAACAGATAATAGATTTTCTTTTTGTATTTCTTCTGTCACTCATTCAGGTTTGGGGAGGGAAAGGAAGTAATAAACAAGAGGGGTCTCAGTCCAACAACCGAAACTAAAATTATTGAAATGTACTTTTAAACTTAACATCTCAACTGAATCATTTTATTAGTAATAAAGTTACACAAATATCTTTATCTATCAAGAGATTTTTAAAGTAATTTTAGGTATGCCAATGATGTTTAAATGTTCTACGTTTTTCAATCTTCAGAAACTAACTTTTTCCAAAAGCAAAACAAAATAAGCTTTCTATCAAGGCCTTAACATTTCTAGAAAATTAATTGTGCTCACCCAGAAAATAAGAAGCTCCCTGGAGAACAGTGTAGCCAGATCCAGGGTATCCTGAAGACAGTAACCCCTACACCCCCAAGGCACAGTCTGGGGCTGGACTTTCTTCCCCAGAATCTGCTGAAAGCTGTACTACCTGCTATAGCCTGTATCGTCCATGTTACACCTGAGGAAAGATGCTTTGCTTTCTCTCTGCCCTCTCTCACCTGGGGACTCTAATTATTAAAACTAGGCTATGTTTAAAGGTCCCAAAACAAAGGGGAAAGGACCTGAGGAAGCTGATAATTAGTGATGGTCCCACTTCTGCCTCCACCTAAACTACTTCACACAGTTGACCAGGAAGCTTGTTCAGGGACCGAGACTCTACAGTCTTCCTTTGTCATGTGTTAACAATCACGTCTGTAACGTGCTCATTGTATTTTTTAAATGCTTTCATACACGTTAATTCTTCTGCATAATTCTCAAAACATCCACACGAGGCAAGCAGAGCACATATTATCATCCTTGTGTCACCCGTCAGGAAACTCTGAAACCAGCTTATCCAAGTTGATTGACGTGGCTGGTTCCAGTCGATTAAACTTACTTGTTATGCAGCTGCTGAAACACGTGGGAACAGGGTCAGAGTCTTCCACACACTAAATCAATATTTATATATTCGAAGAGCCTCCTCCCCGTAATACATTTCGACTCTCCAAGATATTAAATCACAACCACTTTGGCCTACACTGTTTGCCAAGATGGACCATCTTTTGAGCATTCTGACTCTTGTCCACTAGAGGGAACCAGTTAGCCAATATCCCATCTCCCAAGGTCCAGGGTCTTTATTTGGACCTTGAAGTATAAAAGAACTGCCTTTTGGACTCCATAATCCACGCCTGAATTCAAACATCCTAGATCCCCACTCTAATATCCTTTACAGTATCAGTATATATCACATCACAAGGAAAGTCAAATTTATAAGATAATTTATATTAAAATGTTCTCTTACCCTTTCCATGTCAAGAAATTCATCATCTAGTTTCGTTCCTTCAACGCCACTTATTTTTTCACTAAACAGCTGTAGAAGTAAACACAAGTAATTGTACTGTACAATCATTTGTTATCACAGTATTTTACCCAAATTATTACAAACAAAAACAAAAAAACTCAGGTTCAGCTTGTTGGATTTTTTTGAATTAAGTCATTTAAGAAAATTGTTGGAAGGAGTAACCATAGCTAAGAACATGGGAAGATACACATTCCTCATTCATTCAACAGATATTTATTATGCACCTACTATATGTAAAACACATGGTAGTTGCTCTAGTAGAAACATAAGTAAGATTAATCCTGGTCATCCAGGAACCCACAGTTCAGCAAAGGAGTTCATATACCAACAGTCAACTAAATTACAAGGGAGAGGGCTTCCCTGGTGGCACAGTGGTTAAGAATCCACCTGCCAATGCAGGGGACACGGGTTCGAGCCCTGGTCCGGGAAGATCCCACATGCTGTGGAACAGCTAAGCTCGTGTGCCACAGCTACAGAGCCTGCGCTCTAGAGCCCGCAAGCCACAACTACTGAGCCCGCAAGTCACAGCTACTGAGCCCACACACCACAGCTACTGAAGCCCACGCACCTAGAACCCAGGCTCTGCAACAAGAGAAGCCACCGCAATGAGAAGCCCGCACACTGCAACGAAGAGTAGCCCCGGCTCGCTGCAACTAGAGAAGGCCCGCGCGCAGCAACGAAGACCCAACACAGCCAAAAATAAATAAATAAACTTATAAAATACAAGGGAGAAACAATAAGAATACAAAATAATAGTACAGAACACAAATTATTGTAAACATCTTAAGTGATAAGCATTTCAGTGATTCATAGAAAGGATTCTGCGAACCTACAGTGTAAAAGGTAAGGGTGGGATCCATCCAGGACTTGTTTCCTAGAAAGCTTGGCATCTGAACTGGCTTTTTAAGGACAGGGGACATTTCAACGGTCAGGACTGAAGGAAGGCCTTCTGGTGTGAGGCAGCATGGAAAAAGACCCAGAGGCAGCAATTCGTAGGGCAGTTTCTCAACCTGGGCACTCTGATATTTATATCAGATAATTCTTTGCTGAGGAGACTGTCCTGTGCATTGTAGGATGTTTAACAGCATCCCTGGACTCTACCTACTAGAGACCGGCAGCACACACAACCCCATTGTGAAAACCAACAATGTCTCTGGACAGTTGAGAACTACTGATATAGGACCAAGTGTGCTCAAGAAACAGCAAGAAATTTGGTTTAGCTGTAATGAATGGTACTCAAGGGAGAATGAAGGAAAATAAAAGCTGAAAGGTAGACAGAGGCCAGACCACACAGATTCTCAAATGCCAAGGTAAAGAATATGATTGAGAAGTCCCTAGAGTTTCTTCATCAAACAATGCAGTTGGAAAACCTTTTAGAAAACCAACTTTGGCTCCAGTGTGGGTTGGATTAGAAAACAAGGAGACTGGATGAGCAGTAGAAAATATGTTAAGTCACTTTCTTTAGAAAAGTACACATCTACAGGATTTGTTTACACCTTTAAAATACTTATATGAATATAAAACTCAGTAGTAAAGGGAGGTGGGTACCATCAATTAATGGTAAAAAAAAAAATTGTAGGTTGTTTTAAATGTTAAGTGTGGTTTTCTGCTACTACTTACACTACTACTATCAGACACACAGTGTTACTGTTTAATAGGAAGAATATACGTGCAGACAGTATTTAACTTAAATTTGAGGTGTGAGAGGGAATTACTTGAAGAGAGATGAAAGATTACCAAAAAAAAGGCTACAACTCCCCATCTTCCCTGTTTCTATGTCTTTGCCATGCCTCCTAGACAGAGCTGGAGTCTATTTCCACCTTAAAGAATTGAGTTGGGCATGTGACTTGTCTTGAGCCATAAAAACAAGCCTAGGCTCTACAAGATCTTGTGTGCTTTCACTCGTTCTCTTGAAACCCTGCTGCCACCATGTGAACAAGCCTGAGATAATTTGCTAGGTGGTGAGAGACAAGTGGCCCCAACACCTTCAGTCAGGACAACCAGTTAATTCCCCAAACCAGAGCTCTTTAGTTTGACCTGCAGCTGACTGCAGACACTGTGAAAGCCCAGCCGATACCAGCTTAACCTGCTGACCCATGGAAGCATGGGCCATTTACATGGTCATTGTTCTAGACCACTAAATGTTGGAGCACTTTGTTACTCAACAGAAGCTGACAGATACACTAAGACAATAGTTTTTGTTTTCAGGCTCAGTATTGAAGTCAGAGAGGATTATTCTAATGCCTTGATACCACGGGTAACCTTCAACAAGAACAATTGAGAATCCCATTGCCATACACCAGGCAGTGTTTGAAACAGATATCCATCAATTAAGTCCCCCAAATCTCTTTTTATTCAGTAGTGAAATCATTTAAAATACTGGTTCTTAACTTTGGAGGTAATTTTCTGAAAATTACACAACCACACCCCAGGAAAAACCCTCCATGTTCTGTTGCATGGTAAATTGCAAAAATGGCCATAATGCTTTGCAGTTCCTCCCATCAAGATATGGATTTTATTTCTCCACCCATAACTTGCTTTGGTCAATTGAATAGAATGTAAACAACCCTGTGTGAATATTGACTTTGGACCTTATAGATACATTACAGCTATAAAGAGACTTGGTAGATACTTCTGCTCACTCTCTGAGGTCCACTGTGACCATCTCCATGTGAATAAGCCTGAGCTTGCCTGCTAGAGAATGAAAGACCACTTGGAACAGAGATAGACATCCCAGCTGAGCCATCCCAGAGCACCAAAACCACAGCTCACCTGACCACTGACCACCAAGAGGTCAGTGAGCCTGGGCCCAGCTAAGATCAGCCAGATCAACAGACCCACCCAGTAAATCCCAGCTCAAATTGCTGACCTACAGAGTTGTGAACTAAATAAATGGGTTTTGTTTTAAGTCACTATGTTTGGGGGCAGTTTGTTACACAGCAAAACTGACTGATACAATTACCTGCAATTTCAGAGGGCTACTGGAACCACAGAAGCCCATGCATATACCCTTGTTTTAAAATATCCCTTTGAAAATCCTTCTAGTATTGAGAGTTAGACCTGAAACTTACCCAGCCTGAATCAGTTCTCACTGGTTCAGGTTATACTTGTTCTATTTTTAGAAATCAGAGTGTCTAACAGAAGGAGTGTTCCCACTTTTAAGAACAGAAACTAATGAGATTAATATTTGTTTCTTATTTGGAAGGAGACACCAATATGGGATTTTTTTCAACAGGAGTCATGGTTAAGAGTCATGATCATTCCTCTGTTTTTCCTGAATTCCCCAGTGATGTTCAGCTATTTTGAAAAGTAAGCGTAAATAGACGCATGGGGCTCCCCTGGTGGCGCAGTGGTTGAGAGTCCGCCTGGCGATGCAGGGGACATGGGTTCATGCCCTGGTCTGGGAAGATCCCACATGCTGCGGAGCAGCTGGGCCCGTGAGCCATGGCCGCTGAGCCTGCGCGTCCGGAGCCTGTGCTCCGCAACGGGAGAGGCCACAACAGTGAGAGGCCCGCGTACCACAAAAAAAAAAAAAAAAAATGCATGATATTAGCTCTTTAGACCACTTGATGATATTTAATTCTTCATCATTCAAGAAATATCGTTGAGCATCTACTATGTGATAGAGAGACAAAAAGATAAGAAAGACAGGGGTGATCACTACAGGGCTCCTGATCTCATTCCAGAGTTACAGAAACTGCAGTCCTATTTCTTTTAAGTGTTGGAAACTATATATAAATACTGAAGCTTCTACTTCTGGTCAAAATGACTAGATAAACTCAACTATGATACATGGCCTATGCCCTCAATACATAGCAATGAAAGATTAAGTATCAAAAGAGAAAAGCAAAAAGATAAGCAATGCTTAAAAAGAGAATAAAGTTTTTGTAGGGACAAGAAAAGGAAGAAAAACACAATATGGCGAGCAGGGTTGAAGCCTCAGTCTTGCTGAGCTTCTTGTCTGCCACAGGCTCTGGCAGCCAGCAGTCTGGTTCCTTTTGGGTAAAAAGGGATCTAAAGTGGTCCATGAGACAAGAACCTGGAATCAAGCTCTGCTCAAAGCCAGGGGATGGGCAGGAAAAGGAGGCTGGAAAAAATATCCAGATGCAAACCAGTGTCCGAGGTTAGTATGTTTGGGAATCTGCAGGCTCATGGAGACTGGAGAGCAAAGAACCAATCAAGTTACCACCGCCACCCCCCACCAGCTCTGTGGCTAGACTGAGATATCCCCAATATCACCATAGAGCAGAAACCATCATTCAGCATCTGGGCCTTAGGAAGCGAGGTGGAAGAAATCACAACCACTAGATAGAAGGGTGCACAGAGGGATTAAAAGTGACAAAAAGACCCCCTCCCCAATTAAAAGTTAGCCTCTAAATCTAAATTCTAAGGCCCATGAATCAATATAACATCAAGTAAGACAGCCAACAAAATCACAGATCACAACATGAATTTACTCCTGGTGAAAATACTTTTATGAAACAATCTGACAAAGACTTTATATGTTTAGACATTACCAATATGATAAATGAAGGAATAACTTCTATTAATAAAGAGCAAGTAATTACACAAAAGGAGGGGATTCTTAAATAGCTCTAAAAAATTAGAAATCTTGGAAATAAAAAAATAGATAGTCATGAAAATGAAAAATTCAAGAGATGATATAAACTCCAGACTGGGCACAATCAGAGAGAGAACTGGTAAACTGGAAAATATTACTAAGGAAACTCATCAAAGAACAAAAAGTTTTAAAGGACAAAGAAGTCTTACTTTTTTAATATGAAATGTCAATGAATATGGAGCATAAGTGAGAGGCTCCAAGATATACCTGATAAGCATTCCAGAAAAAAGGACATCCTATGAGAGAATCAATATTTTGATTTAATAGCTCTTTTTTTCCTACAGTTAAAGGAAGATATGAGTCTACAGCTTGAAAGTGCACTCAAGCGCTAAGCAAGATAAATATTAACTCATACCTAGACACGTCAAGATCTCAAGAATAAAAATTT